ATCATATGGTCGAATTCGTTTTTCGCTAACCTTAGCTTTTCGGGAGCTAGTCGTCGTGCTTTAGAAAATACAGGTGGTCCTGTAGTCGTGATGTGATGTGTAACATTGCTGGTTACACACGGTAATCTCGGTTGCGTCTGTTGTATCCCAGGATACTTATCGAGAAGTGGCCGATAGAGTGGGTCTATCATATGTTTAATTGTGACTGGGGATAATTTGCAACCAGTAAAAGAAGTTACGCAAACGGATAAATTAGTGTTTCCGTCTACTATCCTCCGTTTGCGCGTATCGATGATCAGATTGTGATGTTGTAGAAGGTCCATACCAATGATTGACATAGAAACATCTGCAACAACGAAAATCCAGTGAATGGGTTTGCGCAAACCCACGTTAAGGTAAACGTAGCTTTTGCCATACGTAGCGATCGGTTTTCCGTTTGCCGCCTGTAAGTTTAGGGTCGATTCGTGAAGTCGGTCGTTAGGATTGGCTGGGAGAACGCTAACTTCTGCCCCAGTGTCGACGAGGTAGCGAACTCTCGTTGTCACATCTGTGACGCATAACAGACGGCTATGTTCGCCGGCTACGGTTGCCGTTAACGCTTGCCGGCTTGGAAGTTTCCCGAGTTGTTTTTCGAGTCACTCGGTTTCGTGTTGGGAAAATTGCAGGGTTTTCTGCAATTTCTGGAAAACTTTCCATACTGGTTATGATACCAGCACCAGTCGGGGTTATCTGTCTCTCGTGGTCTAGAGACAGATCGCTTACGTGAAATGCTTCTACGTGGGGTGCGCGATCTCTTACGGTCGGTACGAAGACTAAGATAACGCGTGAGTGTGTGACATAACTCAGTTATATCATTCTGAGTCGTTTGAGGTTTTTCTTTGACTGAAAATACCTCGGTAGTAGGTTTCGTAATTTCTAAAATGCGGTCGGCAGATGCAGCCAGTTCGTCTAAGGCGTTGTTCTGAAACGAGACCAGAATTGCTTGCACCTGTTGGGGAAGTTTTGCCAAGAAGAGTTGTTTGAATAGACCTTCGTCGAAAGTTCTTGGGCCTATTACCTCTCTCATTCGTTGCAGCATGTCCGTCGCAGAACCGTGTTGCAGGTTGATGTTATTGAAGAGTTGATCTAACCTTTGTCGATCGGTTAGGTCTCCTCGTTTAAGAATCGAGCGTTTTAAGATTTCGTAAGGATCGGAAACATCACTAGTAAACATACTAGGTGTTACATACCTGTTGAATTCGCGCGGTAGTGTCTTGACTACTGCGAGGAATTGTGCACGTGTGTCGATCACGCCGTGCTCGTGGAAGTCGGCTTCTGCGTAGCAGAACCAGGCTTCGATGTTGTCGGGCCAAAAAAGCATCAGTTGAAACGAAGGCGGGGACAAAGTCTTAAGCTTGAGCACTTTAGGTGTCTGTCCAGTCATGATGAAGTATGAAGTACGATAATGAACGAGGGGAAAATATATATATATCCAAGAAGAAACACGAAAAAAAATCACAATGTTTAAAAAAATAAAAAATAAGGCAATGATATATAAAAATCCCAAAAAGGAACAGACTCACAGTTGCAATTAGGTGTACCAGATCACGTCGGTCTCACCAATGATGGTGTAACAGGTATTCAGTGTTTGACAACGCTTTTACCAGTAACACCTTCTAATATATTTCGTTCCCACCCAGAGGAATCAAAAGACAGAGTCGAGGAGATCAGAAGAGTGTATTTGGCGAATACCAAAATATCGGAATTCTCTGATCTAATCTGGCTAGCGATTGCGGTTGATGTTGAGCACGGCGTTACCACACGTGATCTGGTGCGGATGCCTGACCGAGCGCCTTCAGCTAGATGAGTCCACTAAAACATATGGTCAGCATCCAATGTCGAAAACTTAGAACTATTTATTTTGGGGATTTATTTACCGCTACAATATATTTGTTGGCGATCTCGTGGTATCGAAAGAATACCGAGATCGTGCCAAAGGAGTACAAGTGGAACTACTGAGCGAACGTATGTTCGTACAAGGTCACAAGCGACGGAAGATTGTACGTTCTTAGTACAGTTAAACGAACAATTACAGTAAAACAATCCATGGCACAATTGGTTATAATAGTAGTTGTTTCCATTACTCCAATCGTGTTCTCCTGATAAAAGTAGGTCACTACAAATTCTTGAGGGAATTTTGGGTTTTCCCCAATATTTTCCCATAATCTTACAACACTGGGGTTTTTACCCGAAATTTCCGTAAACTTTGGGGAAAACTACCAAACTTTTCACGACTATGGGGAAAACCCAAAAACTTACTCAAAATTCTCCAAAGTTCCTCCATAATAAAGAGATTGGAAAATGATCCTTCTTATATATATTTTAATTTCAACAGGTTAATTACTAACCACTTAACTCAAGCTGCTACAATAATAGCATCTCACAAGCAACACTGGTCAACGCTGTAAACGAAATAGTGTCCAGTCTTCAAACTCCAAACGGGAAAATTGTCATCCAAATAGAGCTTCTGGTGACTAGTTACTTCCATGGTCAGTGAGGCAGTTACCTACCAATTATATTGGAAGACAGATATGTAATATCATGAATTGATTGAATTTTGACATAAGGATTATTGGATGTCTGACCATTGGACTGACACGCTCACTGCGAGGTCGATTATTGGCTTTGCCGTGGATGTATAGTTTGACTGAATAAATATCTCACCTAGCACGTCTCATGCCGCGTACTGATAAAAGCCATACAATACACTATATAAGACACTGAAAATAGAGTGCGTTGCTCCAAAGAATGGGATTGTGATGCACCTAAACCAGAACAGTGATTCCGATACTTCATTCATCATAACACTATATGGTGATAACAGTCGTTATTCTTAAAAACACACCGCCTAGCACTTCGAAAGCCAACAATGGCTAAAAATGAGCTTAATCTTGTATTGTACTTGGACACTATCCGCTACTCAAGCAGTACATCTTCGTCCTCGCTGCCTGTTATAGCAGGAGTCTGAGCATAAGGGGCTACTGTGGACAACTTAATCAAAATTCGACCTCAGACGTTACTACTTACTACGTCCTCAAAACCTGACAGTCACCGTTCAAAAATTAATTCCATAAAGCCCAACAAGCAGAAGCATAATATATCTTTAAAACAGTCCATACATACATCAAGCCCCTGCAACATCTTGCCACACCCCAATAGTTCAGCTTAGTATAGGTAGTGTGTTCTAAGTGTAAATGCTGTTTCCAATTCTACTAGTTGATGTTTATTTCGATTAAACAGAAATATTGGGTACCTTTGGGAGCAGTAATCCTATTTAGACGTCCCGAAACTGAAATCAGTCGGAATCACAATAAATTGTTTTATCCAGGAAACCCAAAATGTAACTGGATACGATATCAACAAACTCCACAACCCACGAATAGCTAAGTCCAAAAATTTGATTGATAATGGAATTTGAATTGCTTCCTCATGTATTACTCCGCACTCTAAAATGTGCCGGCTACAAATAAACACTAATGTTATTAGCCCCGACCAACAGACGGACTTGCGGAGGGACCACACAAGGATCAAGTACCAACACTTCAACTTCCTTAATAATTGTAGGAATAAAACGTGTGAACAGATAGCATTAATGTTCAGAAACCGGGTACAATGTTACTGAAAAACGGAGGACGTAACAAAGACTGAAATGAGTTGGCGAAATAGCAGATCATGTCATATAATAAGACGATCGGTAACTGAACAATTAAAATCTACTTACAAAAAACTCAACATTACAACAGAATGAGGACACGTAATTACATGATTTTAGGAAAAAGAAAGTCTTACATGTCTGAACACATCTATAGGGACCTCATAGATGACTAGAGTTACCTCAATTTTCTACACTACACTAGTAGTATTGTACACACCTGCTGATAAGTTTTCAACATAAATTAAAAATACTACCACACAAAATCATTCCGACTAATTACTTCCTAATGAACTATTTACTTCTGCGATGTATCATCATAGCCGATAAGGGATGAGAGATAAAAACGTATCTTAAAAATCATTGCTCATGTACAAGAACCCACTAAAGTAAACCTCGCCTATATAACTTTCATTAGCCCGAATTTCCATCGTGAAACGATAGCGACAAAAAACCAAATGTCGAAACATCTATTCTAAATAAAACCGTTAGTTGAAACCTAAGCTTTCATGTTGGTTATCATTTTTCATCTAAACTCGTGCGAAACCAACTTTTAATCTAGGATATTAACGCCATAAAAGTTGTCCTATAAAATATAGCTTATTCCTAAAACTGAAAATATCCGAAGGAACTATCAAGTTTTGACGACAAATCAACTTTTATTTGAAAACATTCAGGCGCTAAACTGTATGCCCATGATGAATGTAACATTGTGTAATCGAAAAAAGCTATTTACGAATTATGTAATTAACCAGAGTAAACACCTTTTAAAAATATATACAAATAATTTTGACAACAGAAAATGCCTAGAAAAGATTAATAAATAACATATTAACAAGATAGTTGACTGCAATAATACTAAATTAGTTTATTTGACAGCAAAGAACAAGGACAGAAGGCAAGGTAGAGTCAAACCATTGAAGACAATGATTATATATATATATATATATATATATATATATATATATATATATATATATATATATATAAGAGGCTACAATACTATATTGTGAATATGAACTATCACTAAATATTATGATACATTATTTGAAGAACACATATTACTAATGAAAAGAGATATTATGAGTATTTTTTAAACAAAGTATATAAGCAACCAAAAGCAACACAAGTAGATTTAATCACAGTAGGAAAACAACTTTTAAAATAAATCACAAAGAAACTTGGGAAATTAGCAAACTATATAAGTCACTATAATTAATTACAAAACATGAGAACATAAAGAGGAGGAAATGCAATGATGAAAAAGAAAGATAAAACTAAAAGTTGAATAAGTAACACAGTTTGCTTTTTACATGGAAATTGGTACATCTTTTATAATTAAAGCCTCTTTAAAAGAGAAAGATTTAGTTTGAAGTCCTGAGTTATTACAAGCTCCTGTGAATGGAAGAGCACCAAAAACAGGTTCATAGTTAGTTGGCTTGATATGATCGATGATTTTTTCGTTGGAACGGTTAAGAGACATATTTGAATGCAGTGTAGAATCTATGTTACAATTGTTATTATTGTTTAATAAACCATCTGAAAATAACAAACCTTTTATATTAGGTTCTAAATCGCTTTCGGTAGATTGGGATACAGAGTTTATAGGAGGAGAAAAGTTTTTCAAATTTTCATTACAATCTATTAGTATACAGCCAGCCGTATCAGAAAGGGGGGATGAAGTATGTATACTTGAAAGACAAGTCTTTGTGAGTAGAGTTGGACTAACAGATGACGGTAGCGAGTCCGATACAGATTTCGAGAGCAGATTAGAATTGTGGTCTCCTGTGAAGCAAGAAAATGGATGTTTTCCATCAATAATTTTTGAAATAGCACGACTATCAGTTGACATAACTTGACTACAACGCTTACTGTAATTATTTAGAGCATTAAAACTCCCGGAGTGTCTTTTTTTGTGGTACATTAAAATGGACTCTCTTCGAAGAGACGAAGATGCTTGAGAGGAAATCCATGTAGTAAGGCGAGTTGAACGCCGTGTTGGCTTAGGAAACAATATACAGGATTCAATAGATTCAAAATCCAAAATAGATGGACTTGAATCACCTTCAGAACACTGACTATCTGATGATTCTGTGCTTACCAGTTCCTGGCTAGATTGGATACATTTAGCCAACGATGACTCTTGTTTACCAGACGAATTAGCATTAGGTTTTTTACAGTCTACAGTCAAGTTTGCTATTTTCCGCTTTTTTGTTCTTCGTACCATCTCATGAGGAGGGAACAGGTCATAACGATGTCCAGTGAGATAATCAATGATGCGCACATCACGTAAACGGCAACGGCTACCTTGAATATGATCTAAAACATCTAAAGCACGATCAACGCCTGATGAGAAAGCACCATGAGTACATTGTTGACCACCAGAACTGTCAACGGTACCTTCACCTGCAAAAAGCAACTTCGGATAAACCTGCAGTAAAAACAAGTTGCAATAGCGTGTAAGTGATGAGAATATTTTGGACCGTCTTAAAACATATTAATATTGCATATAGAAAGATTATGGTAAAACCAGAAACATAGCTTAAATGCATTGGGGAACATTGCAATTTTAGGAAGGACTATGTAGATCGAATAATAAGTTTAATAGCTTCTTGCAATAAATGAGTCCCTGTGATGATAAGGATATTCTTACCCCGTACAGTGTGTTTAAATGTTTATGGCGAGATTCTCCGACATCTATAATGTAATAATCTCCATATTTTAAAAATACCACTTGGAATTATGTGAGTTGTCTGGCCTTTAAATGTTTACTTAGGACAATCTGTCTGAAGACAAACATCTCAATAGGGGATTGATTTCTACAGCGATCTCACACACTAAATTAAGTCACACTCTAAACATTATTGATAACAGAATATTACTAAAAGTTGTGATTTTCCACTGTCGATATGTTTGTGAATTGGTCAGTCTCTATTAATACTAATGTTCTAATTCCATAACCTCATAGCCAAAAGCACTATCTACTAAGAAGTGGTTACATTCAATAAACCGGCACCAATTAAAATAAAATATTCACCCTACTAGTCACTGATAAATCAAATATGTAAGCAAACATGACTAATTAGTTCAATTTAAAGAAATGATAAGATTATAACTAACTGTGGAAGGCAGGCTACTTGCATAAGCTTGTCGATCAGCATCACTGCAGCCAACCTCACCAGCAGTGTAAGCACCCAAACTAAACGGGTCTTCTGACCATCGAGTAACGTGAGTGTATATAGGTTCAGGCAATGGACACTGAGAAGGGTACATACCACCTAATAAATCTAGTAAAGTTTTGACGACAGCTTGATCAGATCGACCAGTGATCCTGAGCTTTGAACCACCCCATACGTGAGCAACCAGAACACCTGGATTTCCATAAAAGTCACAATTAAGTATATGAAGGTAAGCGCCGGGACACGTAATATGGGGCGTGTCACGATCCCAAAAAATTTCTGATGGGTTAAACATTAAAATAACCTAAAAGGAAAAAAGCGCGATACCTATTAGTTATCATAAAGTATGTTAACAATACCCTCATTCATTAAAGCAAACACATGAAGACTACAATTCATTGTCAAATGGCTTTCTAACACAGAAATTATACAAGTTTCATTAAACAACAACCACGTAAGAAATAATCTATTATATCTATATACAATAAGTCAAAAATATAAGGAAAGATTATAGAAAATATCATGCTTGATGATTTTAATGAAAACTGAAGGTATAATCCAAACTGTATCTAGAATATTTCGAAAGCATTTTGTTATAATCTCTCTTATTACGACTCAGCTATTCTTATTGTCCAGTATTCTTGGACACCCACTCACTCGACAAGTCCCCAAGTCAGAACACGGTTGAACAGGAACGTAATTACATTCCAAATAACAAGGTTGCATGGAAGTAGGAATCTGTGGTGTTTGTATGAACTAATAATTCTTTTGTACTTGATGTGTGCCTGACTTTGAATTCCAAATACAATACGTTCGTTTGTGCTCACCTAGTTCTTCCTAACACGAACTGTGCTATTTCGGGGATTCCTAGATCATATGATAATCCAAATGCTTCTAAGTATCACAGAATCACAATAATAAAAACGTTAGTATATTTGTAGTTGTTACATGAAAAGATCCTATTGTCTTTTCCAAGTATCCACTAGCACTGATTGGTTATGAAATAGCCAGTCAGAGCGCCCCAACACAATCCTGTAAGAAACATCCTTCAATCGAATTTACATCCCGTTAACACACCTATATTATAATCACTTTTTTTCAGTTGAACAAAAAGGTTACCATATGAGGGTTTGATACGGTAATTTTTAGTTATGAGGTCATTTAATTAACATTATTCGAAAATTTCAAAAACCCTTTCTTTTGAACGGATAGTCTAATATCTGTCAATATCAGCTTTGTCAGTTACCCTAATAATGTTTTTAGAATACAAGTAATTTACCATAATTATAAAAAAACCTAGTCTTGAAGTTCATAACTTCTGCTGGATTTTTTTCAAAAAAGTAACAAGTGAAATTATTTTAAAATGTAAAAATTATGTTAGAACTACTTGATAACCGCACAAAGCCATGCAATAAATTTATACATCTTTTCAAGTATACAATCACTACCTGAATGGTAGCTGGAAATTTTGTTTTACTGTTTTCTTATTTCGGTCCGGTTTACTTGAGAATTTTTAGACGTAGATTTTTATTAAAGTTGTACATATTTTATGGCATAAAACTTGCATCATGATGTAAGTTATTTTACATTGAATGAGCACATGAATATCAAACGTTCAAGGTAGAGAAATTCCTGTGAAACTGAACAAATGTTTCAAGAAACTTTAAGTGTTTTTATCCACTAGTGATAACCACACACTTTTACATTACTCAATATTACATATATGAGATATAAAATTTGGAACTCATAATGATAGCAGTGATAGACTTTACGATCACTGTATACTTTTAATATTGAATGTATTAAATTGTACACCTTACATTTAGATCATTAATAAGACGATATAAAATGTTGCAATTTCAGAAGAGAAATCACCAGGCAATTTTGATTTTAAAGTGTAAATTTAGTGGTGACTAATGACTTTTAATCCAGCCTGAATATCGCTCTACATAATACAAGATTCCTCTAAATAACACAAAAATGAAAATATACAATTTATTTCGACGCAACTAAATAAATACAGTAATATATTTCCAGAGAGAATTTCTAACGAAAACGCACGGTAATTTGAAGTAAACAAAGTATAGTGGACCAATTCCTTTCTAGGATGAGTCCACTTAGTTATAATACTGTTAAAAAGCCAATATATATATATATATATATATATATATATATATTCATAGGAGCGAAACTGGTATGAAAATATCAGATTATTGCTTCTAAATTTTAGTAGAACGGTGGCTAAAGCACTCAGCTTTCAATCAACAGGTTAAAAGTTCAAAACTCATCCCACTTAATTCAGCCAGAGCAGCAGGGAATCAGTAATATCATTAGTCATCACACAAATAACGTGGCTCAAAGCAAAGTACATGAACTTGTAATTGACAAGTTACACTATATTGTGAGGTTTACAAAGAGTATTTTACCATAAGTTTTTCAGCCAATAGTTTATTCCACATTGACTGATATTTCAGATAACTTATAACCTTCCAGTTAATATTTTTTTTTCAATACTATGATTATATCTGTAAAACAACTCATGCTATCAAGGTAAACAACGTTACAAACTGCACGAAAATCCATAGTCAGTTTACCTTATTATGAGTTTCTGCTCCCAACTTTGGAATACCAAGACGATCTATTGCAAGTCTTTTCCTTGAAGGCAAACATGGATGAAAATGGATGGCACTACGACGATCAAGGCCTTTGAGTACACCAACAGGGACTGTTATGATGCAGAAGCGTGCAAAATAACGCTTAGAAGATTGTCTGTTGAAAACCAACGTAGACGATTCCCCTGAGCACTGTGCCACATCAACACATACTAGATTAGAAGACTCAATAAAATCCATAAGAGTTTTAGTAGACCATGAGGCAGCACTGTCATGAATTAATTGGATATTAATTTCTTCATTAGATTTACCAAAGTCTGTGTGATTTGACCAATACACATGTCGTGCAACACATCGGTGATGAATGTCTACACCAGACGCTAGAAATTCGACAAACTTTGAGAACCCATCTAAAACTAAACGATCCTCCCATTTGTGGTCGGTTCGACGAGCAATGCTCTTACACGAGCCATTCAAACTTAAATGGGTTCTTTTTTCTTGCAACCAATCCAAATAGATTTTTTTGGACACAGAGCTCGGTTGGTCAACATTCAGAGCTAAACCTGCCATAGCATCAGCTTCGAAATGAGGTCCCAAAGAAAGTTTAGGAGAGAGTCTATGAGCCGGATTTACATACGCTATGTATCGAGCAAAAAGGGAATCAAAAATGCCCTTTTCTCTTCGAGAAAGAGTTGGAGAAGTTCGGTAGCCTGCTTTGTATAGTAAGTGAAGACATGATTCTAGAGCACTATAAGTAATAAAACATTAAAAAAATTAGAAGAAAGCCAACATATAATCATGTGAGCAAATGCATTGATTTAACTCTATTAAATGATCACTGAGATAAATTTCTACCAAAGTAGTAGGGTTATATGAAAGGTGTCTTATACCAAACAAATAGTCTTTAAATAAGTTGGTAAAACGCGAGTACATATATTGTCACATCTTATGAGTTTAAAAGTAGAGCTGCAGGATAAATTATTCATGAAATCATGATATGAAGTTGAAAAAGTAACCTGGAAACCCAAGTAATACTCCAGTATCTGATGCAACATATCTCCAGAAACACATACGCAAGCCAATTCTATAGACTTAAATAAGCATTTTTGAGAGCAGCTTATAAAGAGGTGATCTTAATATAATTTAATATAGACACTGGCGAAATAAAGTAAAGTGAAGACTAATGAAAGCTACTTAGACTGATATACATTTAGTTACTATTATATATAAATAAATATATATATAGAGAGAGAAATTTATATTCCCTGTGAAATGAGTGAAAACTTGCACACGGCACAAACCTTGGTAAAGCAGTAGCTAAAGTTTTGTTTGATCGATTCTCTTGTTTCTTCTGATTTGCTGCCATAAGAATGTACAGTAAGCATCTGTCAAGTAGAAAACTCATGTCCGCCACTTCTTCCAAGCCAATTTCCTTACCCGACTTATTATCTCGCCAAACAGCTACCTCTGGACATTCCCAACCCCGATGCGTACCTAAAACATCCCCAGCGGCAGGAGAAGTAGCGATTTTTAAACGACTAGCCAGCGTAAACAAAGGTTGGACATCCTGCGAATTGTTGCATCCATGAAGGTAGCTAGCCCCCAGGTCGACAACAGACTTATCTTGTGATTTGTCAGTAACAGAAGGAAGATCAACTGTATGAATCCGGCCACCACTTCTTGATCGCGCTTCTAAAACAATAGTTTTAAGTCCTTCATTAGTTAGTAGTTTGGCTGCAGCAAGTCCAGAAATACCAGCACCCAAAATAAGCACATCACAAAACGTGGCCTCTGACATTTTATAAGTAGCCTCAACGAGGACCGAGCTGCACAAAATAGCAAATAGAAATAAGAATTATGAGGTGAGTCAGATGTTTGGTAAGTACAGTAGTTCACCTTAGTAACAAGATACGTTTTCGAACACAATGACGTAAGTGATATTTATTAGGTGAGGGTCGATAGTATAATATCAATTTTACGAATGTCCTGTGTGGTATAAAGCAATGCCAACGTCACTAAACGATTCCGTCTAAATAGTGTGTGACTACTTTTGATGGAGACTATAGTCTATGAATTAACCGATCAGATATAAGATTAAGGGTCTTGGATTTTAACGAGAAAATCATTGATCTATTTGGTTAAGTGGCGTTTTATCATTCTAGCTTATGTCAGTTCGTGACGGAAACCCGAAACCTAATCCCAATTCCTGACACTCATTTATAACCCTTACTAAGTCATAGTTAGTACGTGGATACGATCTAAGTCACTTTAGTGTCGCTCAAAGGTTGCTCATAAATTATATTCTCAACTAGTAAATACATGTAAGTTAAGCAAGATTATTTGAAAGCTGATTTCGGCTTCATCTGGTCTTTAAGTTCACCTTAATCTTAGTGAGGCTGGTGCCAAATTCGAGAGCCTGTTTTGAAATACCTGGTGATATTTTGACGGTTTTCTTAAATACTAGTAATTTTTAGCATGGTGTTGTGAAAACCATGTCTTCAAAATCTACTTTTAAGCATGTAAAACAATTTCTAAACAGGGAGGAATTTTTCTAGGCTGGAACTCTAGCTTACTATTGTTTAAAAGTCAACAACTAAGTAACAATTACAAGCGACAGAAGTTACGAGATTACAGAACCAGATGTACTTGGAGTCGAGTACGTCAGGAACCAAACTTTCCGCTCCCAACATTTAGTACTCAATCTTATTATAACGAATTTTTGAGACGTTTGTTTGTAGCCTTGATGTTTATTGTGTGCAGGTACAGTTTAAGGAGCCATTCACTAATTTAGGAATATAACCCATGTTATTCTGTGCAATTCACGACTGGCACTCTCGCTTTCACTTTTCTTTACCGATTAGTTTTTAGTTTTTATGTAGTTGTTAGTGTTTTCTTTTAAACTTTTCCTTTTTTACAGTACCGCCTACTCAATCTGTACAGTCTTATTGACAGTTAACCGTCAATTAAGTGTCTACCAAAAAACAGGAGGGTGCTTTTATCATATTACTTGTCAAAGAATACACAAGAGATAAGGGACAGTCCAAGATAAAAAAAGGTGCTACTCAAAATTAACTACCTATTGGGTTTTGAGCGAAGCCCGACACCCGAAATTACAACCTGTAGGAACCCATGCAGTTTCTAAAAAACTCTGTTTATGAACATTGAGTTCAAGGCAGATACTGCTGCAGAGATTTTGAAGAATCGTTAAAAAATCCTTGAGGAGTGTTTTTTACGCTACCCAGGCTCGCATTGTCCTCACAATCCGCCCCGGTATCCATGGATTTTTCAGAGATAAACCCTCGCCATGGGTCATATTATGTTTAAGTTCACTTGCTCGTGTGGAGCAGAGTTCACTGGGTGCACAGAGCAAGCATTTCGAAGTGCATCTCTGCACATTTTCCTAGGAAGCCTTCGAAACGTGAATGCAAAACGATCAGCAGTTTAATATTATGAACATTGGTCGTGTCGCCCCACCTGGAAAGCCTTTCAAAGTCATTCATACGGCCAGTCAATTCAATTCGAGAGAAAAACAGCTCGTAACTCGTGCATTCCAGAGGTTCTGGCAATCCATATTTTCAAACTTGAACTTTGTATGGAAAAGAATCACGTGCAATCTATTGTTCTTTCATGACTCTGGCAATTGTTGTTCATAAAAAGTAGTTTGATTGTTAATACATCTATCAAATGTTTTAAGTCTCAGTATTAGTTACTTTATATTAAAGCCATCACTTTTTTAATAACCACCAAGTGAAAAATTATTTTTCGTACTATTATCTCTCATCGAATTCTTTATCATTCACATGCTTCAAGTAGTTTTGGATGGAATAGAAAGAGCTTTCGCTTAACGGGAAAAAAATTTGTAAATCATAGTGAGATACTGTCCTTAGTCCTTAAGAATATGTCAAATTTTCTGCTAAAGGATTCCTGGGAGGCCGCTTGGACTAGCCCAGTCGGCAGCGTATTTCACCACTTCACTACTCTCAAAAAGAAGTTTGCCTACAGTCAGTTCTGCTATGTTGTGTCTCCGATTTCTGGGTGTTAGCCCTAATTTTTGTGTTGGAACTAAGTTTACGTAGTCGTTTAACGGAGGCCCAGAAATGTTTAGAATGCTATAAGTCATTAGATCACCTCTAAGACTCCTGCACTATGTTTCCGCACTCCATATAGGAAAGAATAAAACTGTTGAAGATTATGTGGAAAGTTCTTCAGTCGAACTGACAGAAAATGTGCTTCAATCTTACCTGCGAAATGTTTTTTTGGAAGGAATTTTTGTCGTAGTTGGCGTAAGGCCTCAAACCATAGGGTACCAACACTCCTAGATCTTTATCGACTTGGGATACCTCTGAGGGAGTCACCTAAGTTGTAGCTGTAGTTTGCAGAATGTCTCAGATGAACTGCCTTACACTTTGAAGTGTTGAAGGTAAGTCCGTTGTTATCTGCTCAACTTTGCCGTGTAGTCAGATGCTCCTGAAGTGCCAGACTATCCTCTTAGTTACGTGCCTCTCTCCAGAGTTTCACATCATCGGCGAGAAGTAATAAACCCGACGATAACTTCTATAGAAGATCGTTTATACGAATCAAGAAAATATTTCCTAATGTCCTAATTTTATGATAACTTAATATTAAACTGACATTTAGTCTTTTCCTAATACGAAATTAACATCCAGTAGAACTACCTAAGTTAGTAAACCTGAAGATACCACCGTTATAGTGTAATCCACGAATGCCGGTCATCAAGTATCTTATAGATCCATGTCAGTAAGACAAATGAAGAAGAAAAGACTGGTGGTTGGGAAGGTAGACATTTTTGTTTATAGGTTAAAACGTGGCCTTGTAAAGTTGTCTGGCTAGAAACCTTCAATTAGTTGATGTCTCATCAATCCAACTTAGTCAACAGCAGTCATGAACATTTACAAAGTTATGTATTTTAGAAACTTATATTGAGCTACATCTTAGTCCTTTGTCTGAGACCGTTCAGACAGTGGTGTCCATTAAAATTAACGAATGCAGGAATAGTAAATTACATATGAAAAGCTTTTTATTCTAACAAGTTAATAAACTCCACAGGCTCAAGGAGCTGTACTCCTTGGCACTTCCCTAACTTTTGTACGATATTATAACAGCTTAGGTTGGTTGGTTAAAAGTTCACCTCAAACAATTAAGCATATGTCAAAACAGTATAGTTCAAGTATTCATTCACTTCGTTATTTTGTATAGGCGTTATATTTCGTATTATCTTATATTGAATGTTGAGAGGCTTTGTTTATCTGAACAAATGATCCCACGCTCCGGCGTGACTGCGCGAAGATCGAAATAAAGACCTATTCACTACTTCTCTGGTTTCTTCTATCAATGGCACAAGGGTTACCTAGAGGCACGAAAGTATAAGGACAGACTAACTAAATTTCGTCTTCATTGTTATTGTGAAGATGCAGTGTTGAGACGTTGCAATCTTTCAATTTCTTCAACAAGCATGAGAAGCATGAGAAAATAAACCGGATTTGCCACAGTGACCAATAAACATGTTTGTAACATGGAACTTGTTTCAACAGAACCAAATAGAATTATGGACGATGCAGTTGAATTGTTTTGGTTATGGAATCAGCACATTAGACTTGAGAATTTCTTATTTCTGAGCTAGTGTTACAAAAATGACCCAAATGGGTTCAAGGCAAGTTGAACGACATACCTTAGTTTATTCCAAAGTAACTCGTAGATCTCTATCAGTTAATAACTGATCACTTACAATACGCACAGGGTTATCAGTAACCATGAAGAGAACGAAAAGAGATATTATCGTCTCAGTTGGATGGATAAATGAAGAAATCTAATCGTGAAATCAAACTCTTCTATGAACTACAACATGGATTCTCACGACGCACATAACCACGAATAATTTATTAGTCTAGAGTAGTTTTATAGGTTGCTTTGATCAAAAAGCGCTTGTGGATGCACTTTCTAGTGGCCGAATTTAGGGGATTTTATATCATCCTGCAAAATTTCCTGGTGGCAGGGTACATCATAACTGGATATGGCCAGTATCTGAACTACCAAATGAAGCAATCCTGGTTTAGTAAGTGGTGCCTAAGGTTAGAACCGTGAGACTGCTCCGTAAAATTCACTCACTTAAACTTACAGCTAACCAACCTCCGAATAACTGTCGAATTTACTAGGACTAGTGCCGTCAAGGGTTTTCACTGAACAATAAGATACCTAGAGTAGTTTATTAACATTGTAGGAGTAGTGAACATGGACTTATTTTGTAGTTATTCGCATTTCCTACTTCGGCCTTTGCAGTGGCTAATATTATGTCAAGTCTACATTAGGCTATTCTAGCTTTCGGACAAATCAATCTATTTATTCTTCTCAAACCACTTTTTGACCTAGTCACTTAATGACTTATTAACCCTGACTGTTTTTAGATGATCGTATATGTGCTGGTTGCTCATCCTATTAATTATGTCTGCAACTTAATCTTGATCTGACTATAAATGCTGAGTAACGCTTGATTAAATTAATATGACTCACTTGCCTCCTCCGATCCTTTTCGCTCTCTTCTCTTTGTTCCCTTCCCCTGATTGTTTGTTCAAATCAATCAGTGCATGGAAAATGCGTGTTCATAATGTATTTTGGTTTTCTGCTTATTTAATTCCGTTATTCACTAACGCGAATTAAATTGATAAAAAAATATATGAGGGTGGCTCGAATGTATATTTCAATAAAAATCAGCGAACGATCTAGTTGAAGTCTGACAAAATGGTCCACCAATGCTCCCAGACGAGAGCGAAGCCGAATTAAATGGCTTAAAGTACCTCGTCATAGTGATACTAGGTATAGGTCACTATTGAAGATGATGTATGTGCACGGTACGGTCCACTTGATTTGGACGGCGATATTGTGACCTGAGTCAAAGTCACACTTTGCGGTTAGTGTCTAACATCGATAATACTTTCGTGGTATCGAGATACTGTGGTAACTTCGATGACCTTATAGAAAAAAGATGACGTGGTTGGAGAAATGTATTAGTAAGACGAGATTAAAGAAACAGAAGTATCATATATTCAGGGTTTGACAATGCTGTCGTCTATAACACTTTTATGATTAGAGATCCCAGAGTCAGTAATATCAGAGATCAGGAACGAAGGAGTTCGAAGATGCATTTGGAAGGTGGTCGATTTAATAGGAGGTATATGATCCAACCTGACTAGTTGTTAGGGGGATTCATAGCACGGTGCAATCAGCAAGGATCTCATGAGGATGTATGACTGAACGACTTCAGGCTGAGTGTTTTCAATTACACGGAACTATCCTTTGTGAGGACTGAATTAACTCCATGCTGTATTATGCCTGTGTGTTAAGTGGTTAATTTGGATTAGTCATCACGACCCTGATGATTTTTGATGGACTAACAGCGATCTGTCACCCAAAGTATAAATGTCTCAGTCAGAAGGATGGTTCTAGAAGAGTTCAATAATATTTCGCTCACTCCACCTGTGTAACACTTCTAGGCTCATGTGATGACAGCCAACATTTTCGAACGGGATGTTTAGTCCTAACGTGATTTTCATTTCTCAAACTTTTGCTGTGTTCTTACGCAAAAAAGTACTATTTCTGACCTAAAGAATCTGTTCTGAGCTATACGTTCAGTAGATTACTTTTTTTCGAGTTTCACCCAATTTAATAGTTAACT